ATGCATCAAACGTAAACTTTCTGCCGTGGAATCGGGGACGAAACAACGTATTTTCGGCCGGGTAGCAAGAAAAAACTATTTTTATGTCTCCTTGTACAATGAGTGAATTAGGAAAAGTTATCGCATCTTTGAACTCTAGTAACTCAGGTGATGATAATATTACTACTAAAGATATTAAAGAGATTTATCCTAACATAAAAGAAACCATACTTAGATCATCTGAGTCAGATGTATAAATATCTGTCAGATGTATAAATATCTGCTTTTAGACTGGCAATTTTCCTGAAAAATGTAAAATATTACTCCTATATACAAAAAAGGTAGTAAAGAAGATCTAGGAAACTACTGTCCAATATCTATTACTATTTTCTTTAAAATTATGATTTCTAAAAATAATTTTTATTGGGAAAAAACCTACATTGATTTTTTTTTCATTTATTTTTTTCACTTTTAACAGCGCAAATAAGGTTATATTTGGCGATTTCCGGTAAAATTCTATACCAACCTTACAAAAATATGTCAAAAGTTGTGATTCTGTAACTAATACTTCAAAATGCGTGAAAAAACAGATTACAATTTAACTAACAATTTGCCGCTAGTTAAATATAACTATAACTTACGAAAGTGCTAATTAAATGCAATATTGAAAAACCGGGCCTTAGTGACAATTGTCATATTAATATTTATAAAAAAGTAAGACAGTTAAGACGCAATAGTTTTATAAAACAAGTAACCGCAAACTCTATAAAACTCTTTTATAAACCTATATAAACCTACTGGTAACGGTTACTATATGTTATATAAAATGTTTTCAGGAACAATTGTATAACCTTATTATATAACCAGGGGTTACAGTAACCTTATATTACCATTATACAACTTGGAAACAAATGGTGATTTTATGAAACCTTGTTATAACCTTATTTATTTTGGCTACCTTTATATAACTTATCGTTACCATAAGTTATAAAAATTGTTTATTGGGCTATACCTATTGGGCTAATTCATATAAAATCATCTCTTGAAATGGACTAACAACTGTTAAAATCCGATATAGAAGCAGTTTTTTGCAGTAAAAGTGAAGAGGATGTGTTATGGGTACTCTAACCGAAATTTTAATGCTTTATCGGCAAGTGTACCGCCGCACAGTGGTCCAAAAGCCCAAAAACATGGTCAAAATATGAAGGTTTAGTTCCATGTTTAGGGCGTTAAGAGTTTTTAGGGTCACTGAATACGAATTTGAAATCCTTTTTTCAAAAACAAAATGGAGGATCCAATAAGGCGGACATTTTTTGAACAAATGTTCTGATATCGCTTAAATTTGGCAACATGTGGTTTTTGAGGTCCCTAATTGGGAATTTTATATTTCTTTTACGAAAAAAAAATGACGGATACAAAATAAAGGACATTTAAAAAAAAAAAAAATTTAGTAAGTAAGTATATCAAATATGGCAGCCAATTTTCCAAAAAATAAAAAAGATATTACTTAAATTTGACAGTATGTGGTGTTTAGGTCGCTGATAATGAATTTGATTAAAATTTTTCCAACGAAAAAATAATTTTCCAATATTAAAATGGGGAAAATTTTTCCTGTGGTTTTTGATTTCCATTATTCCATAAACATGCCGTATCCAATAGGGCCGACATTTTTCAAAAAATTTAGGAATTTTTTTTGTATACACTTAAACAAAAACATATTTAATACATAGTAACTGGCTTTCTTTAAGATACATTTTTGATATTTACAAATATAAACACTGCGTTAGAAACAAACACCCTGTACATGGATTTAGAACTTTTTCAAGAAAACGTCGGGTATAAAGGGCACGGGCACCTAACTATTGTGGGCTAAACTGTCATAATGGTAGCCACTTTTTTATTAAATCAAATTTCCCCAACATTTTCTGGTTTTCAAGTGGTTTTTTAATTTTTTTTTAGTTTATTGTTTATTGCATTAAAAAAATTAATTTGATTAAACAACATAAATTATGTAGAAAGTATTTAAATGTATAGAAAGATTAAAAGAAAAAATTCTAAATATTTTTTATTTTTAACTACCATATTTTATTTATAACTACATACAAATATCAATACGGTTTCATAACATTTTATATAGATATTAAACCTAAGACACACCCTGTATAATTTAATAAAATTTTTATCAAAATATTTATTATAAAATAAATAATACTAAGAAAAAAGACTACCACTTATTAAAAAAACTTGTTTAATATTTCCAAGAACCACTGATAATTCTCCGAAGTATTTATGTTTTTATTTTTTAATGGGGCTGTAACTTATTTAAATCGTTTGGCAAAACATTTCTTTTGATAAATTAAATTTTATAGCAATTTCATGAAATATTCCCTGATAAAATAAGTTGCTTATTAAATGTCATTTTTATATCTCGTAAAATATCATAATTTAGGATTTACAAGTGTGAGAGTATTTTATACACCTTTAGGATCTGGCTCCAATACATAGATTTGGAAAGTGACGCCTCAATAATTTGTTATCAGTGAATTTCTCTTGGAATTATTTTAACACAAATGGTGCGTCGAAATACTTACTTTGGCAGAGCTGAATTGTAACTGACCTACAGATGCGAGTATCGAAGCTACCTAATTTTCCCTGTAGTTTAATACGTCAAATAGGTCTCCTTACCATAATACATACACAAAACATCACAATTTTTCATTTAATTTTTCAGATTTTGGCCAGCTTTTTTTGACTTTGGATCACTGTGCGCCGGAGAAATCAAAATATCAGTACAAACGGGTATATAAACCTTTCAAAGATTGGTGTAAAGAAATTGTTTAATAATTATGTATTGAGATAATAAAATAATTTTCACATTTATTATTATTTTACAAGCAGGGTACCTTATTTTGACGATTGTATGACATTTGATAACTGTCAATTAACTTAAAGCTAACTTCAGCTCGTGACTAAAACGCCATAAAGTCACAGCTTGTCAATGTGTATTTAAAAGAACATTTAGTGTCATGAAAACATGTCCGATAATGGGGGTTTTAAAGGTGGGAGTAGAAAAATATATTTTATCTCCACGCGGTCTATAATTTAAACTTTATTGTTGTCAACATTCGATAAAGAAATACCTTATTATGGCCTAGGCCGATAAAAATTTTTATGAGGCAAGTAATTAGTTCGATTTTCTCTCGCTAGGGGTATTGTTTTGACAAATTAATCCGTTTCTAAGAAATTAACGTACTAAACTGGTTTAATTTATTTATAATAAGCACTAATTTATTTGTTTTACTGTTAATGTTTAATATTTTTCATTAAATTATTGTAAAATAAATATGAATAATAAAACAAAAAGTGAGGTTATGCAACCAAGAAAACGCACGATTCTTTTTCTACGATTTAAATTATCTATAAGTTTTAACTTGCTTAAAGTTTTCAGTGAAATTAAATGTTAAACACAGCTTAAACATTCCAAACTACCTATTTTTTTAAATAAAAATCCAAACAAATTGAAATTAGATACCTACCTATTTATTAAACAATTAATTGAATTCAATGTAACAGCAAAAATCCATTTCTACTTAAATCATGTAGCTAGGTATTAAACACAGCTTAAACATTCCAAACTACCTATTTTTTTAAATAAAAATCCAAACAAATTGAAATTAGATACCTACCTATTTATTAAACAATTAATTGAATTCAATGTAACAGCAAAAATCCATTTCTACTTAAATCATGTAGCTAGGTATTGTCAAACTGTTACTGCTTCTAAAAGTAATAATAATTATTGTAATCTTTAGCTAATAAATAAATGTGATTCTAAAAAAGTGAGGTTAGGCCGCTTTGATGTTGAATTAAATTGACCTATATAAAGTGCTTTGAAGATAAAATGTTGTATGCCATTCGGCCAAGAAGTGCCTTTTTGTGCTTCGCTCAATTGTAAGCCTTGAGCTTAGCACAAAAAGCCTTACTTCTTAACCTAATGACATAAATAACTATTAGATTTCTATCAACCTTTATGTATCATTATGATTCAGGCCAAAACATTTTTTTAAAGAGGGCACAATTATTTTTCTAACGGTACCTTGATCAAAATGGGGTCTATAATTTTTTTTAGAACACATTTCTATATAAAACATATATGTTTTAGCCTTGGGAAAACGCACAAATAACTTTTAAAACAAATCCAAAATTATCGCGCAGAACGTTTCATATTAAATTGGTTAATTTGATATGGATTGACCCTTAATCAATTTTTCATGATTTCTCAAAGAGGAAAAAATTTATTAAATTAGATGGCGTAGTAAGTTTTAGAGAATGCTGTAATATACAGTTTTTTTTATTCGGAATTTGACGTCAAAAATTTGAGTTTGGCAATTTCTAGGGACCCTAAATTTAAGTAAAACAAAATAATTCAGTGGATTTATGTGGTAAAAATTAATTATTTCTTCACAATGCTGTTTTGTTTTAAAATTTCCTTTAGTTTAAAATTTTTTGTTATCTTTGGTATTGTTTATTGTAATTCTAACATTTAATTACAAATGTTAAAGTAAAATTAAGGCTTCACCTGCCGCAATCGGTACATACTATGCAACCAAGACTGCACACGGCAAATTATATCACAGATACTAATATGCCCTAAAGGAATCTAGAATTAGCATATTGATCGAAACAGCTGTCTGTCGGTATTTGAAGTTGCTGGAACGCACTCAAAACAAAAAACTTTGAATATTACCTGTAATGGGTCAAGAAAGTTTCTTAAAGAAACTAAGAAAATTGAATATTTAAAATTAAGGCAATGAACAGGGGTACCAATTTTAAATTTTAAAAATACCAAAGTATATTGATATACAAATCAAATGTGTCAAATTAAAAACAAACTGAATATTAAAAATAACTTTTTTTACTTTTGGGTTTAAATTTCTCGTTTCTGTTTAAAAATTTTATGGAATTGTCAAATTCTTTTAAAAATACATTAAACAATGCATATAATGTTTTAAATCTTTTAGATCCTTTGTTACATCTGATAATAAAGACATTTTACTAAACCTGGATCTTCAAACTTGTCTTCTATCTAATGTCAGCATTTGTACCACTGCAGAAAAAAACGTTATCGTCGTATATAATCCACTTTCCAGGCCAGTTTCTCACTATGTGCGCATCCCAGTACCTGAAGGAAGTTACAAAGTATACGATGCAGAATGTAAATTGACAAAACATATTTATAAAAATAATTTTAAATACATGTCGCATTTTAGCAAAACCAGTTCACTGTGATATTTTGCCAGCCATATCCAAATTTAAACATATTCCCAAAGAAGTTGGAACGCCTTTACCGTACGATTTAGTTTTTGAAGCTAAAATAAATGCCTTTGGAATGTATGTTTATTACTTGAAAAAAACAGGGGATAACACTAAACCCGGTAGTTCAGTTAAAACGCAAACGAAATTTGGAAGTTCTGTAAGATTTTATAATCATATAAATTAAATATATCCTATTTTACTTGTTTCTAGGAAAATGGTTTTGAACTGAACCCAGAAACAAACCTACTCAAATCCGTCACCATCGATGGCGTTACTGTCGACATAAAGCAAGAATTCCTCTACTACCAGAGCGCCAAAAAAGATATTTGGTCCGGCGCTTATTTATTCAGACCGTTGCCCGAAACTGTGGCGATTAGTTTGTCAGAAACTGTTTACATTGAATCCGTTTCTAGCACAACCAGCGTCGACGAAGTGGTGCAAGTGTTTAATGATTACATCAAACAAATTATAAGGGTTTACAAGGCACCAGGACATAACTATGTCGAGTTTGATTGGCTTGTTGGACCATTACCAAAGTAAATATTATTAATAGCTTTTTAAAGGGTTCTAAAGCTTAATGGATTAAATTTTATATTATGGTAAATGTGAAAAATAATGGGTCAAAGTTTCAGTAGGTCAAAATACACCCTGACTGACTGACTAAAATACAGATACAGATACTTTTTTCCTGAATAGTTTAGCACCCTGCTTTTTTATATACGCTAAAGAAGTATCGCTAGTACAGCGTTTAATAATATTGAGAAAAAACGGTGGAAAGGTTTTTTATGTTGGGTGTTTTTTGAAAGAAGATGCGAAGTTTTTACCTGTTTTCCAATAAACAGTGGGAATCCGAATGAAGAAATAAATTGCATACAGTTCCTGTAAATATCAATTGTACCTATTAGATACAATAAATACACATTTTATTAATGATTTACGTAAACATTGCAAACATTTCAATTCAGTAAAAATCATAAAACAAATAATTCGCCTAAATCCAATCAGCATTATGAAATACTAAAAGCTTTGATTGAGAAAGTCTTTTCTTAACGGTGAAAGACCAAAAACGGGTATTATATTATGTATTATATATAATATTATGTTTCCATAATTTCGCAGGCATATTTTGTCTTTTACTATATCAAAGTGAATTTGTTGTCGTTTTTTAGAGGACTCAAACACAAAAATGTTTTATTTTAAGGTTATGTTTGTATAACTTTTATTTTATTTTAGCTTTCTTAAAAATGTCCAAACTTAAAAATAAATTATAATAGGTAAAGTTATCATTAGTTAACTCTGCACCACACCGTTTAAAATATCTGTGGTGTGAAGAGTAATCTTAAAATGGTGTCAAAATCCAACACCAAGTGGTCTTAAAATAACACCATGAATTATGGTTGAAAATGTTTTATACAGCAAATACCAAAACGGCGTTGATCTAAAAATATTTGAAAAGTGTACCTACACAGAAAAAAAGGAATAGTTCATTTAACTATATTAATTTAGTTGACCCATAAGTATTTATTTAAATCAACTGTGGGAAGGTTAATATAAACAAAGATTAGTATTTTTTTAATTGGTTAAATTAACCCAGAAAACTTTAGTGAAACCAGCCCGCTGTATGGTTCAGTTTACTTAATATGTTGTTTGTAAAATAATAGTTACTTCAACCTAAAGCAGTCTGATAAAACGATTAAAACAATTTGCCGTGCATTCCTTGTTGCATAGTGTGTACCGATCGCGGCAAAGGCGGTGTGGATCACGTAATGTTCTTAAATCTCGCCTCTGTTGACTTACATGAAGAGTATATAAACTCAGGTAGTCCTTTTCTTTGGTGTGACACTACAAGTTGTTCGATACTAAAGAGACCTTAAATAGGTGGAAACAGCTGTCAATATTTGAAGTATTTTAAGTTAGTGGAACGCACTAAAAACATTATCTCTAGCGAGTTGAAGGTTCAATTTTCTGGAATAATACCACTGGTAATATACTTGTAATGCGTCAAGGAACTTTCTGTTTCCTTTTTTTCTGTGTAGTATGATTTAATTTGACCAAAAACACATTATATTTAACACTGAAAAGGAGTTCAACTTACACCAGGTAAAATTTATTTTAATACTGTGTAAAAGTTAAATTTACACCATTTTAGTATTTGAATTTACACTGGACCAAAGAACCATATTTAACACCATTTTGGTTTGTATCGATATGGTGTTAATTTGGTGTTAAAATGGTCATGAAATTTTGAACATTGCAGCAAATATAGGTACCGAATTGGATCCTTTATCAAAACATGAAAATGCAACTTCCGATTAGTTTTTAAATTGCATTTACTATAAAAAAACACAATAATTCACTATAACCACTTAGATAAAATACATACCCAAGTATATAAGCATATACCTACACAATAAATCAACCAAAGTTTTTCAGTTTTTACTTGCAACGCGAAACACAAATAACGTGCGCGGTTAAACTGTGTAATTGCAACTTTGCGAATAAAATTTGCCTTCCTCTCTTTTGTGAAAAAGTACTTCAAAATTATGTTCGTTCGTATTCTTTAAATGTATTGTTGACAAACCTTGTTATTCAATAATGTTATCGAGCGCAAGATGGCGCGCGCGTTGCGAAAACCCGATGATTCTTTAGCGTATAACCCCCGGCTAATTGCCCCGCAAAATAATATAAATATAATTTCACCGTGCGTTTTCTTTAATAAAAGAATTGATTTAAGTTGATCAGGCATCTTTAATTGTTGAGCAAGCTGAATCCTATAACAAACCAAGATCTCTACTTCAAAATGTCCATAAGTGGACTTACAGGCCCAAATCCTATTTAATACATGCATTAACAGTAGCGATATTTTTCGATCTACAGGGTGAGCTTTTTCAAGTACCAAAAACGAGGATTAATTTTAACCTTGTATTTATTAAACAAATATTAGAAATATTCCCCAATGCCAAAACAAAACACAAAGTGCTTAAAGTACTTTTCGCCAACGATGTTGGCATCTTCAAAAGCGAAGTGTAATACTAGGTACATCTTTTAGTAATTCCAAATACGTTTTTCCTGTTAGGTTACCATAAAAAAATGGGTCCAACCAGACGATCTCCGAAAATACTTGCCCAGACGTTGAGTGTTTGAATATTGCAGATACGGGGGTTTAGCTTAGCACGGCAGTATACTGAACCTGTTTCTCAAAATTTTGCCACCAACTCCAAAACGAATTTTCCCTTTACATGCCTATCCGTGTGTTAATTGAAAAAGTCTGCTGCACAATTTTTTCAAATTAAATTTTGATTTGATTTTCTTCACGATTTTTTTAAAATACTTTAATTTTAAATATTTTAAGTAAAATCACTACTTACTACCTGTAAGTTTAGGAAAAAGAATTTTTATAATAAATTTGCATAATTTGCAATTGTTACTTTAAAGTTTAATCTTTACATAAAAAAATACTCAATAAAAATCACCACAAATCACAATGGATGCAAACCTGTCTCGATCAGACGTTTAAAAAATAAAATTAATTTTTAAACGTGTGTTTACGTTTTACCTTCCATAAAGACTTCTTGCAAATTATATTAATTATAAACTATTTTATTAAAAACCTTTTTTAGTCTTACTCTACCTAACATGGGCAATGAAGTAATCACCAGATTCACAGTAGCCGATTTCGACAACAAAAATGTATTCTACACCGATTCTAATGGCAGACAGTTGATGAGAAGAGAAATCAACAAACGTCCTGATTACACGTATAATCATACATATGAACCAATTGCTAGTAATTATTATCCTGTAACATCAAGGATTCTCATAAGAGACGAAGCTAAGAATCTTGAAGTAGCTATTTTGAATGATAGATCACAGGGCGGTAGCAGTTTGAATCAAGGAGAAATAGAGCTTATGGTATAGTATATTGTGCTGCTAGTGGGAGAAAGAAGGGATTCCTTGAACGGGGAGTTTGGAATCTCATCTTTTGACCAATGGTCGCACACAATATTTTATTTAACTACGTACCTACCTCAAGGAATTTAAAGCCAATTTGGTTGATATTTCACATTTTATCTATAATCTGACAGCGGTCAAGCAACTTTAACCTCACTTTTTTTCAACTTTAGCCCGTGGGCGTTTATACGCTAAAGAAGTATTGCTAGTAGCGCCACCACTCGGATGTTCTCATAGTACAACTTTTCAAATCAAACGCGTGTGTTACAAACGAGTGTTTTTGAGAATAAAGCCAGAAAATTTTAAAAAAATATCGAAAAAAATATCGAAAAAAAAATCGTGGCACGATTTGTTGTGTTGATGGACGTATTTCGAGAGGAAATCCTGGGTTGAGTTTTTATCGGTTTTCCAATAAACAGTGTTAAATTTCCTACAGTCCCTGTAAATATAAATTTTATCTATTAAATACAATAAATACACATTTTAGTAATGATTAACGTGAAAAGTGTAAACATTTCAATTCAATAATAATCGTCAAACAAATAAATCGTCTAAATTTAAACAGCATTTAGCATTATTAAAAGCGTTGATTAGGCATTCTTTAGTCTCCACTTAAGGGTAAAATACCATTATATTATATATAATATTATGTTGCCATGAATTCGTAGGTATACTTTGTTGTTTAAAATGCAGTCGTCAGCGTTTTTTAGAGAACTCAAATATAAAAATGGTTGATTTTAAGATTATGTTTGTGAAAAAAATATTTGTTACTAATTTTTTAAAAATGTCCAAACTTAAATATAAATTATATTAGGTAAAGTTATCATTAGTTAATTCTGCACCAACAAATGTACTTACCGAATTGGATCCTTTGGCAAAACATGAAAATGCAACGATTTAGTTCTTGCATTTTATTTACAATTAAAAACACAATAATTCACCATGATCTCTTAGATAAAATACTCACACTAACGTAACTATATAAGCATTTAAGCGTTGAGTTTCTTAATCAATGATATAAAGAATAATCAATCGAAATCGAGTACTAAACCAGTTTTTTAGTTTTTTCCTTGCAACGTAAAACACAAATAACGTGCGCGATTTAGCTGTGCAAGACTTCTGCCTTCCTCTTTTTTGTAAAAAAAAACTACCTATTTATTTAAAAATGATGTAAATTTCGTATGCTTTAAATGTATTGTTGACAATTCTTAAATTCACGCAATGCTTTTGAAGTCCACCAGATGGCGCGCGCGTTGCGAAAAACCGATACTTCTTTAGCGTATAAAACTTGATACATAATTTACTATTATCTACTCCTACATTGACAAGCTGTGACTTTATGGCGTTTTAGTCACTGTCTGAAGTTAGCTTTATTATAAGTAGGGAAAAGAGGTTAAATCCGTTTAAAGTTAAAAGATGTCAAATAACTGTTGACAGTTCGAAGCAACTTAACCTCACTTTATACTTTTAATAATTGTTACTTTAATTGTAAGTACGTTTTATATATCGTTTAACAAATAAAACTGTGCCTTGAATATAAAATGTTATATTCCATTCAGTTGAGAAGTGTCTTTTTGTGCTTCATTCAATTGTAGGCCTCCGCATAAATAACTATTTTGTGTTTCGGGTGCAACACACTACAGATTAAGTTTCGTTCAAATATTGTTTTTAATTTTAATTTTCCAAAATTACTGGGTGGATCAACCCCCTCATCCCCCATTGACTAGGCCTTGAATGTCCTTACAATTATAAAAAGTATATAGTAAGGTTAGGTAGCTTTAGAACTGTCAGCAGTAATCGATTGTTTTGATTGGTCCCAACAAGTTTTTTACAGACTAGGATGTAAAAAATTGCAACTAATTGGTCTAAATTCTTTTACTTTGGTAGTGAGCGTTGAGAAGAATAAACTTTAACTTATAGATAAAATATTTTTAATATCAGAACGAAATAATGTTTTCCAGATATCTAAAAATAAACTTTGTTAAAATCCAAATTTGATACTTTTTTGTATTTTTTTACTTTTGGCAAACATTTTTTTTAACCAGCTGATTTTTTAAAATATCTCTTTCAATAAGGATTTAACGTTTTAGATTTAAACTTATTGGTGTTTACCAATATACATATGTATGTTTGTTTATATTTGACTGGTATCTTATAAATAAGAATATAATTGCATATAAATTATCAAAATACAAAATTAAATTAAATACGTCTTTATCAGAAAAACAAACTTTGACGTCATTACCAATGTAACCCAAACAATGAGATAGAATTCTTAGGATATTCGTAGTACCACATTTTGTGGTAAATTTTTATAATGTTAATAATATTAAACTAAAAACAAACTTTGAGGTCATTAGTAATGACTCATTACCAATGTAACCCAAACAATGAGATGGAATTTTTAGAATATTTGTATTTTAATTTTTTAGTTTTTTTAAGTTTTTTTTAAATTTTTATACGGCCAATTTATAGAACATTAAATTATTAGAAGGTTTTGTTATTTTGGACCCTTTTATAATAAATTTAATTGTTTTTTTAATTTTTTGAAAATAATTTGGTTTTTTTATTATAATGGAAAGAGGTTAATATTATTAAAAACTTATTTATATACTCCCACATTAACGAGCTTTGACTTTATATCGTTTTAGGCTGAAGTTAACAACAGTGGCTTTTGGGCTTATAACTCACGGGTTTTAGTTAGCTTTATTATAAATTGCGAAAAAGTGAGGTTAAATTCGTGAATTGTTAAATATTTATGAATTAAAATTGGCTTTAAATTCTTATTTCTGTTCGTCGTAGATAAAGTATAGTATGAACTCGTTTTATAAAGTTCTCTAGAAACTCGTTTTTATTAATCACTCGCTCGCATTCTTCGCTAGTGCCTAATAAAACTAAAATGGCTTTTATAAAACTTTACTTTACTTGTAAGAAAAACTTTATTAATAAAAACATATTAATTTTGACCATATTAGGTTTTTAATTATTATTATTTTTTCATTAACAAGTTAATAGAACTACAAATTCACATTTTTTATGTAATTTTTATGCTACTTCCCGTATTTACAGTTTATAATTTAACAAAAAAAGTGTATTTTTAATTTTTTAGATGTCTGTATAAGTTTTGTATCTAAAAAATTTAAATATTTTTAGGTTCATAGGCGTCTTTTCCACGACGACAACAAAGGCGTGAACGAAAACCTAAACGAAACAGAATTTGGCCAAGGTGTCGTGGTAAGAGGATCTCATTTGTTGACTCTTGGACCAATCACAACGACAAACAAAAACCAAAAAAATGCGGAAACCAAAGAAAAAATACGCGAATTAAAAAAACTATTGTCTCCAATAGTTTTTGTAGCCCCCACTGACAAGACGAAAGAAGAAATCTTCAAGGTCATCAATGAAAACAGCTTTATTTATGCAGGGGGCTCAAATAACAACCCTGAGGGAGTCCACGTTATGACTTTTGAACCTTGGAAGGAGGATAGTTATATTTTGAGACTGGAAAACATTTTTGATGCAGCAAATAGCACTGTTTCGGTGGATCTTAATGTAAGACAAACTAATATTTTTAACTGATATAATTATTGGAATTTGGGTTTTTTGTTTTAGAAAATATTCCTCAACATCAAATTTAATAGTATTAAAGAAACCACTTTGGCTGCTAACCATTGGTTAGACGATTATAAAAAAATTCCTAAATTTTCTTGGAGTACTGACGTTAAAGACACCTCTGGTTGGACTGTAGATATGAGTCAAGATGATGGCACGAAAATTACATTGACACCTACAGAAATAAGAACGTTTATTGTAAAAGTTTGAAATATTTTTTATAAATGTTTATAAGTTGTTAAGAATATTAATAAATTTGTATTGATATTTAATTTGCTATTATTTTTAAAAATATGCTTAAATAAAACTGCATATTTTATAAAGGGTTAACCATATAGGGCCCTGGCCAGATTTTTAGGCCAAATTAAACCTTTTGAAAAATTTTACTCATACGTGACGGGCAAAAGTATTCACGAATTTGACTTCTAAAGTCTTCTAAATTTTGTGGTCTGTTGATGTAGACTTTTGATTTAAGGTAGCTCCATAAGAAATACTCGAGAGGGGTGAGATCCGGAGATCTCGCGGGCCACTCTATCGGTCCTCGTCTTCCAATCCACCTTTCAGGAAAACAGGTCTCCAAAAAAGTACGGACAGGACGCGCATAGTGCGGAGGTGCCCTGTCCTGATGAAACCAAATAGTATTACTTGGAAGATTGGGATCTCCATCCTCGTTAGGAAACATTTCCGCTAATGTAGGAAGAAGAGAGATTTGCAAAAATTCCAAATATCTTTGTCCTGTCAGATTCTCATAAAAAAAGAAAGAACCTATGATTTTCCACTATTCATGCCCAGACATTTACAAATTGAGAATGTGCCTATACCATCCAATGAGGATTTTCTCTGCTCCAGTACCTACAATTGACGGTTAACTGTTCCATTTAAGCAGAAGGTAGCTTCGTCCGAAAAAAGTATTTTACGAGGAAAGTGTGGATTATTGTGACATAAATTCATCTTATATATAACTTATAAGTTAATACCTTAAATAATAATTATTTATGCTACTAGTGTGTTATGTTGAGAGTCACGCGAGAAAGATTTATACCTTTATAAAAAAATCGGCATTTCAAAATATGGCGAGCTTTTTGAAAATCAGAGGGATACAAACCAAAGAAGTCTATGACATTAGAACAACCTGAAATAGAGAAGTTTTTGAACGAAGCCCCCGACGACGAGTACCTGTTGATGAAAGTGGCTTTGATAATGGGGATTAGCAGTGCTTGTAGGTGCTATGAATTGGTCAATTTGAAAATAGAAAATATTCAAGACAAAGGGAAATATTTTCACGTAGTTTTGCCAGACACTAAAACCAAGAAATTGAGAAGTTTCACCATACTTGAAGAAGGATTTCCAGTCAACCCGATCAATTTGTGTAAAAAATACATGTCTTTGAGACCAAAGAATACTAGTTCTAGCCGCTTTTTTGTTTTTTACAAAAATGGGAGGTGTACCAGCCAGAGTGTGGGAATAAATACGTTGTCGAAGATACCTTCAAGAATTGCAATGTTTTTGAAATTGGAGGAACCAGCGCCACCGCCTGAGAAGGTCTTCGGCGACTCTTTTGGCCAATGCAGGGGCTAGCTAACATGACTACTTTGAAGCGCCACGGAGGATGTAAGTCCTCGATGGTAGCAGAAGGATACCTAGAAGAATCGGTGCATAATAAAATACAAATTGCAAAAAAAATACAAGGTTCTAATGCGTCGGCGTCTTCCAGCACTATCAGCAGCTGTACCGATATACAAAGTTTATATACAAAAGTGCTCTTTTAGTTCCACCCTTACTTCTTAAGAAGTCCCATAAGCCAACTGAATGGCTTGTGCGGGTTAGGGGTAGGAACGGACCGCGGGCTTAAAGTCCCCTCCGAAGGACTATTACACAATAGGACAAACACAAATAAACAGCCATAACCCTGGTGGGATATGAACCAACGAATTTTACAATGACTTCAAATTCGAATAAACCGTTAGCGTTTTCCTTTAATTTCAATTTCAATGTGAATTCTGCTTGTAATGGTAATAATTTAATAGAATACTACTTTAAATATGAACGTGAGGTAAATATAATCCATAAAAAACTAGTGAGTTATGGATTATAACATACTAGTGTGTTATTTGATAGTTTAATTGTCTAAAATGACATTAATAATGACTGTCATGCGTTGGATAAAGTATTTAAATAGATTTTATGAACATTTTAGCGATACTAACTTTTTTATTTTGTCAAAAAAATTACTAAAAAACTATAAATTTTTCATTTTTAAAAATTAATATCTCCGAAACTAGGTATACATGTGCATATTGCTAAAACCAGAATTTCATACTGTATTCGAATTTGCAAAAAAAAAATTTTAATTACAGGAAATTTTTAAATAAATTTGTTTCATACTTTTGCCGGTTACTGTATACACGAAACAAACTGACAAACCACTTATAATTAATTTACAAGATAAACATGTTTTATCACACTATAGTGAACCCAAAATTCTCAGAAAAACAAAATCGTAATTATAATTATAATAAATTAATTATTATTTATTAATGAAATTTAAATGGAAAATTTTTAATTAAATAAAGTAAACTGTTGCAATAAAAATGTAGGAAATTTATGGTCTACCTTTATTCTTAAAGTTACACTTAAGGCGTTTGGGTAAGCTTTTTAGATTCATTGGCTGAATTTTTTTTAATTTTTCTTCATTTGTAAAGTTATTATGAAGCAAATTTGGATGTGTTTCGATCATCTTGTCGTCTACGTTACGGTATTTGCCTTTGGGGAAACTCAACGGCAATACAGCAAGTTTTTATTGCGCAGAATAATAATTCTCTTTTGGGCAATAGAAACACAGGGTGATCAAATGGGAAGGGTATGTTGTGATACATCTTTTAAAAGGGCATTCAATTTTCTTTAAAATGACGCTTCGTTTGAGCAACGCGTCGCTGAGCAATGGATTTCCGAACATTAAATTTTAAACAAATTCATTTAATTATAAAAATAACTAGAAAAAGCACTAGGTATAACAAACTCACTCTTTCAATTTAGACTCCAAAACCACTGCTACATTGTATTATACTAGGTTTTACTTATTTAATTTTTAAGTTGTAAGTTTTATTTTTTGTGTATATTTGACCATTAATATACAGTGTGGAACTCACTTATGGAATAAAATTCGTTATTCGTTGAGAAAAGATTTTTATGAAAAACGTTCGGACACGTAAACCTTAGTTTTTTATTCCAAATCTTATAATTATAATTTTAAATTTTATGCCCCACCGCACATTAGGCACCCTTATCTTAAATAACAACCCCACTTTTTTCATCGAAAATTGATAGTGCACATTTTTTTGCGTTTGACGATACCATATAAGTAGGGTTTAGTAAACAGTTTTCAATACAGGGTGGAAATATAATGACAAATTAAAAAACTAAACTTTTTATTTTAAAATTAATTAAAAATTTAAAAAAAAACTGTTCTTCAATCTTTTAAATGTTTAAAATGTCCCCCGTCCACTTCCTGACACTTTAGTAATCTACTGTAAACCTCCGGTGTTATGTTCCTAATTTCTCCAGTAATTCTGTTTCTTAATTCATCTAAATTAGCAGGTTGTGTTTCAAACACCCTGTTTTTTAGATATCCCCATAGAAAAAAGTCTAGAGGTGATCCGGTGATCTTGCTGGCCATTCTATAAAACCTCTTCTTCCGATCCACCTGTGTGGAAAGGTGTCATTTAAATAATTCCGTACAGGAAGAGCATAGTGGGGTGGGGCAGCGTCTTGTTGAAGCCATATCCTTTTATTGGTAAGATTAGGTTCAAATGGATTTGAAAACAACTCTGCTAAAGTTGGGACCACTTGTTCTCTTAGCATATCCAGATATCTTGCCCCGTTAAGATTTTCAATGAATATAGGTCCCACCACATGATCACCAACAATACCAGCTCAAACGTTGATTTTCTGAGGACGTTGGGTATGTCGCATCCAGTGGGGATTTTCTTCTGCCCAGTACCTGCAATTTTGTCTATTTACCTCGCCATTTAATAGAAATGTTGATTCATCAGAAAAAAGAATATCTGCAAAAGAAATAACATTCCTGTTTAACATATGCAGCATTTGCTCGCAAAATTGTAATCTTCTATCAGAATCACCATCAATCAATTCTTGTACGTGTTGTAGTTTATATGGATGCATTTTTCGGCTTTTACACATCTTACGCGTAGAAGTTGTTGGATCTGACGCGTAGAAGTTGTTGGATCTTCTTGAAAAGCTAATAAAATATTAACTTTCACATTTTCATCAATAAAATGAGGCGTCCTGCGTAATGGTTTAACGTGTCCATACTTACGAAATTGTACATGTATTTTAGATACAGTTGCCTGAGAAAGTGGTGGTAAATCTGGGTATTTTCCATTAAAAAAGTTTGCAACTTGCTGTTGTGATCTGCACATATCACCGTAACCAATCATCATTAATATTTCTATTCGCAGAGTTTCTGTCAAGTGTCGCATTTTTTAACTAAAATATTAACTGATATTTGGATCTAACAAAATACTTCAATAAGTAATGCGCAAAATGTTTCATTAATAATAAAAATTTAAACAATGCAAAAAATGGCATTAACAAAAAACAATAACAAAGCGAAATAACATGAATATCTAAATAGCGAAAGCCACAACACAAGAAACTAAATCATAGAATAACAATAAAAAATTCATACTTGTAATTTTTAAATATTCGCCCTGTATTGAAAATTATGGTTACTAAACCCTATAGGGTTTAAGTATACTTATGTGGTATCGTCGTACTCAAAAAAATGTGCACTATCAATTTTCGATGAAAAAAAGAGGGGGTTGTTATTTAAGATAAGGGTGCCTAATGTGCGGGGGGGGGAATGGTGGGGGCATAAAATTTAAAATTATCATTATAAGATTTGGAATAAAAAACTAAAGTTTACGTGTCCGAGCGTTTTTCATCAAAATCTTTTCTCAACGAATAACGAATTTTATTCCATAAGTGAGTTCCACACTGTATATTTTCCAAATTGTACCCATACACCGTGGCCAAAGTTATCTGCTTACCTTTTAATTTAATTTAACAAAACAATGGCATTTCTTATTTTTTGAATAAAATAGTGAAAACAGAAAAATATTCACCAAAATAACATTTCTTTAAATGGGACACCTGTATATTTTTACATATTTTGGAAGCCAATTTAATTTGAAGAAAAAAATTATAATTGCATAACTACCTTAAACTTAAAAATAAACATAACCAAGTTAATACTTTGTTTTAACAATTGTTAACAATCAGAAAGTTCAAGGGCCTATGAATTGCTTATGTTTAAGTTTAGGGTAGTTATGCAATAATAATTTTTTGATTAAAATTAAATTTTCTTTTAAAATATGTAAAAATATCTCATTTAATAATTGTTAATTTTGCAAACATTTCCGACCTTCAATTGTTTTTCTGTTTTCACTATTTTAATCAGAAGAAAAAATGTCAACAATTTTCTAATCTCACAGCCTTTGAAACTTCATCTTTAAAGCCACCAGTGAGAGCGCAGTGTTAAAATTTAATTAAAATATTGTTTGCTATCCTGCTTTTTTAGTAGGTATTCAAATTAAAAAAACTTTTAAAAATAAATCTTATAAGTTTATCTAATCTAAAGTTACCTGTTAACCATTTTTTATTTTTGTTATTACTAATTTTATTATAATTTATTGGTTGTATTGGTATACCTAATTAAATATTATTACAAAACATTTATTCTATAACTTAACGTTAATAAATAAATATTGCTCTATGTTGTTAAAAAAAAATAAAATAAAAATAATTAAAAAGTATTTAGCAACTATAAATATGCAATTAAAAATTTAACAAACAAAAACAAAATGAATGTACAGAACATTTCTATAGAATATATATCGCCAAAATACTGAAGATAAGCAAATGTACTGTGGTTTTGAGGTCGCAGATTTTAATACATATAATAATTATGTATATATATATATATCTTTATGTATCTGGACCACCAAACCACAGTGTACATTTCCTATTATAACATAATATATAATATAATATACTATAATATTAGTATATTATGTATCAAGTTTGATAAACGCCATTTTATACACGAATTTAATTTAGGCACGAGCGAGCTTGCGAGCGAGTGCTTAAGTTAATGAGTGTATAGAAAAGTTTATAAACGCGGTGCATACCATACTTTTTCTACGACAAATATTTATTTTTATCTTAAAATGATTTAAATCAAAAATTTGTATAGAGCGCCATCTATGAAACAACAGGGGAAACTGTCAAATGTCACATTTTTACATTTTATAAACACAATTATAAAGGTTATAAATCGAAATATATCTTGAAAATTGACAGTGAAAGTAAAGGAAATGTTTTATGAGGACTTACAGTAGAGTCCGGGCCCGAATTTAAGTTATAGTTTACTGCCGGCGAAATTAAAAGGTCAGTACAATGTTCATATAAACTTTTCAAATATTGGCGTTGAGAAACTATTTAATATTTTTGTATTTTTGTATTGAGATAATAAAATAATTTTCACATTTAGTATTATTTTACAAGAAAGGCACTTTATTTTAACGATTGTATGACATTTGACAACTGTCAACTAACTTAAAACTAACTTCAGCCCGTGACTAAAGCGCCGCAAAGCCACAACTTGTCAATGTGTAATTAAAAGGTCACTTAGTGTCATGGAGACATGTACGATAAAGGGCGTTTTAAAGGTGGGAGTAGAAAAAATATATTATATGTTTTAGTAATGGTTCGTTTATTTTAAGTAGGTACAGTATAAAAATTAGAATGAGAAAATTGTCACCATAATATTATCGTTTAAAACCACCTTATTACTGTTCAAAATAATAATACATATTCCTGAAAACAAAATATGATATGTCTTGGTTATTATCAACTATTGTATAGAGGAAAATTTAGTTACCTATATCGCATTATTTTGTTTTAAGGAATATGTATTATTATTTTGTACAGGTATTTCAGACACACCTTGTATAATATTATAATATTAGGTACATTAGCCATACTTATATTGACTGTTTTTGACTGTTATTTTTATTTTTCTGTTTTAAATGTTAAAGATCCATTGAGTTCTTGTTTTTTTTTTTTTAATAAATAAAAACATTTAATTATTTAAATATGTTTTATTGTAGCATGCACGTCTTAAATTAAAAATTACCTTTAGTTTGACAGATAACACAGTTTGTCGTTTTAAACCAAATACCATATCCTTGGTTTAAAATACTGATAAAGTAAAAATAAAACAATTTCAACATTATTTTGATAAATACAGTTAAAAATAATGCACGCGAAAAATGTTTAAAGAAAAATATAATAATCTGGAATTAGGTAAAAAGATACTTAAAACAAAAAAACGCATGCATACATTAATTAAAATATTTAATTATAAGCATAAAAATTTAGGCGATTCACAACAACGAATAAATATTTTATAACAAAAATATTATTCTTAAATTAATTAAATATCTTTGAACAAACTACTTTCTTTGTTTAAAACAATATTATCTTGCTTATATTATAATATAAATATTATAATTATTATTATTATTATACAAAGTAGGATACTTGGTGCACCCTGTATAAAATATGTACCTTTAAACTTTAAGCTCAGCACAACTTACTCTGCCTAGTGTCATAAATAATAAATAACTATTTAAAAAGAAAAGTAATTTTCCTGAATTTTTAACTTTTTCCCGAGGGGTAAACCACGCAGTGGTTGCCACTGATTTTTTAATATTAAAATCGCATACGGTATAACGGCTAAAGAAAAAAATCAGCAGGGTAGTCATATTGATAAGGATTTTTCTTATTGATAAGGATTGGACGCTTATAAATATAAGCGTCGATCAAGGAAAAATGTTACGAACACAACGTCTATATAACGCTGATTTTAGAGTGGTTTACTCCTCGCTTCTTCCAGTGCAAAAATAACATAATTTTCTTAAGATAACGTTTAAAACTCAGCACGAGTTAAAGTGCATCGATGTTGATAAGTATTTCAGTCAGTTTTAATTATTATTTGGAGCTCATCAGAGACGCCCGTCAGTCAAAATGTTCCACATTGTATAGATTGATGCGGTTATCAATATAAAACGACACAAGTCGTCTTCCTGTTTGACAATTAGATATTGTAATTAGAACGTTATTTTGTGCTTTGCCAGTGGCTTGTTTGTTGTTTTTCAACTATGTTGCGATTAAAAGTAAGTACAAAGCTTTTTTTTTAAATTACGTATTGATTAATTTTTACTTTATGTACGTTTTGATTTTTACCAAAGTAATTACTAAACATATTATTTTTTATCGTTATGTTCCCAGAAATGTGATTTTTTACAAGATACATTTTTATATTATTCATAATGTCACGCTTGCTGAATTGCACAATTTTATCTTTTTATTTTTAAGCTCTTATATGTTCAAAAAACTATTTTGTAAAACAATTTGTGTTTGGTCACCAAACACAAACTTTGGTGTGGTAAAAATAAACACAACATCGACGCAAAATTTAACAAGCTTTTAATTTATATAATTTTTCAATTGTCAAATGTTTAATTTGTTGAAAATTTGGTTACTTCTTAAAAATTTATACTTATAATCATAAATAACACTGGTCGACAAAATAAAATTTTTGTTTGCCACACTTTGCTAATATAATTTGGGTTAGCTGATGCCAAAAATGACCAACCTTTTTCTAAATTTGCACTTTTTTAAGATATTATGGAAAAACGTTTTTTCGACATGCAATAAAATTCCTATATACAGTGATCGGCAAAAGCATGGAACAAAGTCATTAAAAAATTCGGCTTTTTTTCTCAAAAAAATCTTTCAACAGGTCGATTTTGTTTTTTTAATTAGATTGCACCCCCTTCTTTTTGGCGATTCGAATGGATTATGAAATTAAGCAATAGGCATATTTATACCTTTTTCTGTTAATAGCTTCGGAAAAATTAATTATTAAAAGTGGAAAATTTATAGTTTTTAATAATGTTTTGATGTTTTATAGTTTTTATTAAAAGACTTTTTAATGAGCTTTTGATAAAATTAAAAAGTGTTTATAGAAGAATTGTTCATAAACTTTATCAAAATATTTTATTTCAAGGTCAAACTTTTTAGTTTTATTATTTTTTTTTGTTATTCTACAAATGGCAAGTGTCGATATTTCTTTGTAAGCATATAATTTAAAACAAATATTCACTACAATATGTTAAAACTTTTAGCGTTAGAGCATTCAGTGAAGTATTGTTCTCAAAATATTTCGAAGTATTTAAACAGAGAATTGAAGTTTTAATTTTTATAGGATGTCGCAATAAAACTAGAACACAACAAGAAGTTTGCAATTTATATAATCCAAAGTATCCAGCTATTATTACTCGTGATACAATTAGTAACATTTAAAGGAAATTCAGAGAGACTGGACAATGTCCAGTGGACATGTCAAAGATATTAAAAACCTGGCCGTCCGAGTATCATGTTTTCCTGAGAGGTGGATTGGCAAACGAGAACCGATAGAGTGGTCAGCGAGATGTCCAGATCTCACCCTTCTAGATTATTTCTTATAGAGTTACCTTAAATTAAAAGGCTACATGAACAGACAAAAAATTTTAAATTTAATAATACCCAAAACTATCATCCCAAAAGGTATACCTGTGCATATTGCTAAATTCAGAACTTCATAATCTATTCGAATCTGCAAAAAAAATGAGGAGGCACAATTTAAAAAAACGGCCGATGAGATCATAGTATTACCTTCTACAAAAATGGCGGCAAATATAAAAATTTTAGATCAAAATTTGCGGAATTAAAAAGCAAAATTAAAGTGTTTGAATTTGTTTTTATACTTTTGCCGGTCACTGTATATTTTGTTAATCACATACTTTAACCGAGGATCATTGGTAATGTAGCTATGAGTCCTAATTAAACTAAAAAAATATGTATACACTAGGGTGCTTCATTTTAGAGCGACATTTTTTAACCGGTCAGAAAACAAAAATTTTGAGCTATTACAATGCTCCTGCATCCTGTATAAAGATTTTAGAACCGAAATTCGAAAAAAATATTTTTACTGTACGAGCGGAAGAAAAAAAGAATAAAAAATTGTTTTTAATGGTTGTTAAAGAGAAATATTTAAAAATTGAATAGCAACGGCTTAAAATAAAAATTAAGAGCTTTGTAATAGCTCAAAATTTTTGTTTTCTGACCGGTTACGAGATTTTTAGGTGGGACTTTTTTTGAAAAAAAATGTCGCTCTAAAATGAAGCACCCTATAGGGTGCTATAGTCTACACATGCATGAAGTTTTCCCTTATAAAAACCATGTTTTTAAAATATTAAATCGTTTTTATGCAAAATTTGGAAAAATTTCAAAATTTAAAGTAACACAATTTTTTTTTGTTTTCTTTACTAAATTTTGTAGTATCATCTACGTCCTTTATTGTGTTAAAATTTCAACGCAATGAAATAAAAACAACCGTACGTGAATTGACTTTACCTTTATACATGGTCAAATAGAGCTCATCGACCACTATGTCCCAAAAAATATATTAAAATAGGCCATGCTTTCCAAAATAATGGGGTGTTGCGGTCTTAAATCTCACACACTGTATATACACTATAATGACTCATATATACAGTGTGTCGCATTTAAGATGAAGACACCCCCATATTTTCGCTATTTCAAGGAATAGAGATTTGAATTTTTTCACATTCATACATGTTGGTGGGTCACATTTTTTAAGATACTCAACTGAAATCTGAACTTTAAACTTGGCCTACTACGAATTCACAAACGGGGCCAGTTGTCGATATTTTGCTTCGCGTTAGAAATATCGAAAAAAAATATTAGAAAAAGTTGTTCAGAATATTATTCTAACCCCGTGTACCGATTTTCATAGCAAAATTCGCATTTCTAATTTATTTATTTTTATTAGTTTTATTATTGTTTTATACCATTTCCTTAATTTAATAAATTATAATTGATTTGTAATTTCCAAAAATTGTTTTAATTATTTATTTAACGGTCTTAAGCAATAGTTAGTATCAAATTATTACTTTCCATGGCTCCCTTATTATCAAATCAAAAAATGAACTTAAAATAATTTTGTGTGGACCAAAATAAAAAAAAATAAAAAATGCGAATTTTGTTATAAAAATTGGTATATGGGGTTAGAATAATATTCTGAACAAATTTTTCCAATAACTTTTTTCGATATCTCTAACGCGAAGCAAAATATCGAGAACTGGCCCTGTTTGTGAATTTGTAGTAGGCCAAGTTTAAAGTTCAGATTTCAGTTGAGTAGCTTAAAAAATGTGACCCATCAACATGTATGAATGTGAAAAAATTCAAACCTTTATTCCTTCAAATAGCGAAAATATGGGGGTGTCTTCATCTTAAGTGCGACACACTGTATATTGTTAAACAGTGTCAAAGTTTTTTTTATTTAAAACTCGTATAAAAACATATTGCCAGGAGCAACAATGACCGTATTTGACAAACTAATTATAGGATATATACGAATTTTTATTAATGCTCTTATTGGAATCTCCAAGGTCGCTTTAAAACTATACAATAAAACTTTGAATAAAACCATAAGATTCAGACAACCTTAGGAGCATCATAAAGCAGCTTCTAGCCAGAAAGAGCCCAATCTAAAATGGTCTTTAAGACTTAATTTTAAAACTTTATTAAAACCATTTATTTTTAATTTTATATTCTTAAAAATTTCTTTAAAATATGGGATTTGGTAATTTAAGAGGAGATATGGATGTAAATATTTGGAATGTAATAGAGGGGGAAGGAATAATGAAAAGAAAGTTCCATTATGAAAAATATAAGAAGGGTTTAGTATAGCGAGTTTGATTATGTAATATAAAACATTTATATATTAATGCCTAGACGAGCTATAAGCTTATTGAAATGTATATACGTATATATGTAATAATAATAATAATAATAATAAAATTTAAAATATACTTAATTACCTACCTTAAGAATCAATATAATTAATCCTAAAAGGGTGTTATTTTGTTTACCAAAGTGGAACAACTTTTGTGTGAAATAGTGAATGGCAGAGTGATAATGTAACGCCATATATAAAGCAGATTATAAAAGATATTCAAACTTTTCTGGTAAAAATTAAAAAAGGGGTGGCACTTTTCTGGCAAAACACTTTTACATAACTCGAGCGCCATCAATTTAATGTTTTTTTATTATATAAAAAATATTTAAAAAACATCAAAACGTCAAATTTAACATCTTAACATCTAAATGCTTTTCATTATTATATTGCATGTTTGGATACACTGCACCCTCATAATTTTCAATATTATGATTTTTTATTTGACTATTGTAAATGTTCATCATGGCGGAGTCTGTATTTTATATAAAACATGGCGCGATCTAGATTAAAACTGATTGCAATTTTATAGAACATTTTTAATCTTACAATCTTGACTTAAAACAGCGTTTTATTTACCACTTTAAGTACAATTAGTCTCGCAAACGTCCATTTACTCTTCATACCTTACAAATTGTGAGCATTTTTTTAATTACCACTTCGTTTTAAATATGTGTTCTAATTTTTTTACGTATAAAGTAGATAGACAAACTGCACTGGTTCACTAAATAAGCTTATTAAGAAGATGGCTTTATCTGAATGTGGAAGGGGTAGAACTAGTTTTAGGCCTAAGATAAACTATTTGTTCCAAAATGGATTGTTTTAAAATAGCCAATGTCGAAAGTATTATAAAACCAGTATAAGATCAATAGGGCATAAGAGCAAATAGTTTTTTATTTTAATTTAAATATTACAGGGTGATCCCCTATAATGTCGGCCCCCTTTAACTTTTTTATTTTAAGTGTTCCAAAAAATTTAAAAGTGTTGTTATGTAGGTACTAAAAAAAGTGTTTTTTTCTACTCCTATTACGGAATTTGACCCTTCTAATATCACTTTTATCTATGGAATGACATAGAATATTTCATTCTGTAATACTTTACGGAATATATGTCATTCCATAGCTAAAAGTGATCATCTGATGACAGAATAAACACTCGTGGCGACATCTCTGTTTTACAAATTTTAGACTGATCCAACCTCGCTTTCTTCCAATTAAATTATTTTTCTTTGGTATTTTTTGGAAACGTAGAAAAAGTATAGTCTGAAACACGTTTGAAATTGCATATTCCGCTCTCGTGAAACCGTCAAAC